TATCATTATTGACAAAATGGATGAAGATTATTTCGTGTGCTTACTAAACCTTTATTAAAATGGCTGTCAATGTAATCAAGGAAAGCGTACTCTCGTGCGAATCTCTCTTATATTGGCAGTTGTCATGTAATTATCTGCCCTTACATTGCATTTGAAGCTATGTCGTGTGTTTGTTTCTTAAATTCGTTTTTTTTTTTTCATAATTTTCAAACTGGTGGGTACTTTGCCCCATAGACTGTCGGTTATTTGGATTGGGTTCCGGTAAGGGAAATATAACTTCCCAATTTTTTCTATGCAAGCGTCTGTTCTGTCTGTCTGTCTGTCTGTCTGTCTGTCTGTCTGTCTGTCTGTCTGTCTGTCTGTCTGTCTGTCTGTCTGTCTGTCTGTCTGTCTGTCTGTCTGTCTGTCTGTCCCTCTCTCTTTCCTTCTTTCTTCCTCTCTCTTCCCTCTCCTTTTCTCTGTGTATGTGTGTATGTGTGTGTCTCATGAATATTTATATTTTTAAAAAAAACACAGTCGCATTGTTTATATTATGCCAAATGTTGTCGATCCGACCATGTTACTAACATTACACACACACACACATTACACATGAGTGCACACAACAACAGCAACAGAACCAGTCCAGAATAGAAACATAAACAGACACATAAACAGCTGCCCTGTTTCTACCTATCAGGTGTTCTACAAGACGGTGAGGGACATCCACGCGGGACCCGGGGACGAGATGCTCTTGTATGCCAGGGAGGCTGTCTACCCGGAAATGGAGTTGGAATCGTTTGCCAGGCATAATTTTACAGGTGAGCCCCTTGACTCCAGTAATCTTTCCTCTGACTGCGGATACCTTACCTCACTTTCCGCCATGTTTCTTTTAAAGTGAGTCTATTTGATAATTGTAATAAAATTGTTAACTCATTCAGACCAGCCTGCAGTTAAATCAACTTTTTTAAAATCTAGACAAGTTCTAGGCCGAAGAAGCTAATTCTCAAGTTCAGAAAGGTTAAAATAATAATATTTTGTCATACAATTCCTTCTCTTCTTCTTCTTCTTCTTCTTCTTCTTCTTCTTCTTCTTCTTCTTCTTCTTCTTCTTCTTCTTCTTCTTCTTCTTCTTCTTCTTCTTCTCCTCCCCCTCCTTCTTCTTCTTCGTCTTCTTCTTCTTCGTCTTCTTCTTCTTCTTCTTTTTCTTCTTCTTCTTCTTCTCTTCCTTTTTTTTTCTTCTTCTGCGTTCGTTATTGAAATTGTTGATAACACGCTGTTTCGTGGTTTACAGCTGGGCTGCGATATGTGTGCCTTCCCCGCCTCTATTCCCCCAGCTCTTTCTCCTGCTTCACATCAAAAATATGATCTCAGAACCCACGGGTGGGTTGAATGAGACAGCTACAGTAGACTAGTCAGAGACTGTATTGTTTTTGCAACAATCAGTTAACGTGTGGCGAGTTGCTTGGTATAGAAAGGCCTACAGCCCCACCTAGATGGGGATTCAAACATGAAACCACCCGGCCGACTGAGAGGCGTGGTGGATACATCGCTACCGCATCCCCACTTTCATAAATTGGAATCGCATAAATGCGTGTAGCGACCAGAGGCGTGCCTGCCGCTGAAGCATATTGCTTCCGAAACGCCCTATTGACACGAAGCGTGTTTCAATTATTCGGATGTTATAAGGAAAAGTGAAGCACAATATCGGCCTGAGATGAACCAAGAGATTTAGTCAGGCATGTGTTCTTCTGTATCACTAGCACTTCCCCGAACTATCCATTTTTATTTCTGCTCAATTTACACCAGAAAAACAGCGTTAATAAATCTATTGCCACGGTTGTTTTATCCACACGGGGAGAAAATAACGCCCATTTCGACACACACACGCCTATTGGGATGCAAGGCAAAGCCGCAACATCCCTTGGTAATGCTTACTGAAGCAAATACCCTATTGGAAACGTGCCTTAAAGCACAGACGGCGTACAAAGAGTCTATCTCAAGAATACCTAGCGATTTGAATTTATTTATAAAGACTGTCGCACCTGCGAGGCGCGTAATGTTTGGGCACAGGTCGTAGCTAATGGCTTTGTGAAAATAGCTGAGAGTTGCTACGGATAGTCCAGGCAGAATTGAGGGTTTTCCCAAACTGTCCATGATTCCTCTTGTGTGGGGATTAAAGCTGCGGTAGCAGATTGTGATAAAACATTCACTATTCACCAGAACCGGCTGTAGAATTCTATATATGCTGAAAGAATTGGTCTGGTCCTGGCTGGCACACACCCCTACCCATCCTCCAATCGTACGGCCAGGGTTTTCACAACTGATGCCCTGTGTTTGCTTGTCCTAATCTTCTGTGGGCCGTTGAATGAGCAGGTATTTAAACAGGGACGAGTTAGCTGTCTTACTTTGGTTCGCTGTCTGGTAATGTTCTCTCAAATATGTTTGTTCAGATAGTGGGCGGAATCTTCTAGGGATCTAGTTTTAACCGAGGACAAACCACCCCCAAAGTTTGGGTTTCAGGGTATGTGCTCGTAGATGTGACTTTTTTTTCCGTTTATCCAATTGTCTAGGGGATGGAGAGAACGAAGGAGAAGCACAAAAGGGGCGGGGGGGGGGGGGTGATGAAAGTTTTGTTGCCCTTGCATTAAACTATTTTTAAACAAACTCTTTTCCTTTTCTCTCTTTTCTTCTTCTCCTACTCACCAGTTTTCTCTTCCCCCTTCTCTCCCTCTTCCTCCTCTATATTCTTCTTTAGCTCTTTTTTTTAAATCTTTCTCCCACTATTACTTTCTTCTTCTTCTTCTTTCCCCTCTTCTTCTTCTTTTTCTTATTCTCCTTCTTCATCATCTTCTTCTTCCTGTTCTTCTATTACTTCTTCTCCTTCTTCTTCTTCACCTTCTTCTTCCTCTTCTTCTTTTTTTTCTTCCTCTTCTTCTTTTTCTTCTTCTTTTTCCTTTTCTCCTTTTTCTTTCTCCTCTTCTTCTTGTTCTTCTTCTTCTTCGTCTTCTTCGTTTTCTTCGTCTTCTGCTTCAACTTCTCAGTCGCCCTCTTCTGTAACGATAGAGGACAAATACGATGCAGCTGTGTCTAGCCCCTAGGATCACGTGCTGTATCTGCTATTCGAAAAGTTCATTATGAATTCCAGTTGACCAGACCAGCTCAAATTTGTCAGTCACGGTAATTAACTAAGGTAATTAATCAGCCCCGATACCACGCCTGTCGTCTAGCTTTCGGTTACGTTGGACAAATCCCGTTGAATGTTACCGCCAACACCATATCGATACAATGCGATAACCGAACAGCCCGGGCGAGAATGGAATGAAGGCGTCAGAAATCACCGCACGTTCTCATAGATAGCTGGCCGCCTGTCACCTGGACCTGGTCCCTGTGCGGACTGATAATGGCTGCACGTTTTGGGTAACCTGAATTAGCGGCTACGGTCAGGTACTGTTGTCTGACACGCCAACCGTGTCCATATCTTGATTGCTCTGGTTAGGTGGCAGGAAGGACATCATCATCATCGTGTGTCTGTAGGGAATCGTTTCCGGTCGCGGATTCTGGGCCTTGATCGTCTGCATCAGTTCTATCAAATTCTTCTTCGTCTGTTTATGGCTGTCTAATCTGCACCGACGGACAAGTTCTTTCGTTAAAATTGCCTGTTTTGGGAGTTTCCTTCTAGTTTCACACAAGTGTGAAGTTGAGTCAATGGGCCAGTATTCCCTTCCGAATGGGCTGTACAGGGGAAATTCTTGCAGGACATGTTCTGCAGTTTGTACAGACAGCGCGATGGTAAACTACTTATACGAAACCAGTTCATTTGTTTGTTAACTTTGTTATGTCCTGTCCTGGGCTGGGGAGGGGGGAGGGGGGTTATTATGGTGACTGGTCGGCGAAGGTCAAGTCAGTGTTCTAACAAATGATATTTTCAGCAGGAAGGTGCGGGAAAAGGGATAGGTGGGCACTTTGTATCATGTGATTTGTAGATCATAATGGTGGAAAGTCCAAGCTTTCACGCGTGTTGGACATACAGGACTGGATCTCTGTTTCATAGACCAGTCAGCACTGGGTGAGTGATGCGGTCAGGATCACACTGATCGCCTTTGCTTCCCAGAACTTTACCTGGCACTCATTTTAGGCTGGGTCGACATGAAAGCTAAGCTCATTTTTTTTAAGAAGAATAAGTACAGCTTCGTTTAAATTTGATCCCCTGACCTTCAGATCCGCAGGCCAGCGTCAAACTGCTATACCCACACGACATCCTCAAGGCGGAGATGTAGTTCTAGAAGCAAATATATTACAGAGATAATAGACTAGTTTGTCAAGTTTATGTTTGTAAAATAGATATGTAGATATTATTTTTAATATTTAGTGTACATCTACTGTGTAAACTGAATCGCAGTAAACCATTACGTGTGTAAAAATGGACCAACAATTTATTGTAAACAGTATTTCTGCAGTCTATGATTACCATCTCACGGACGAGAGTCAAACTGGTACAAATCCTGCAAACCCCGTTCACCCGTATAGCCCCGCTCACCCGTATAGCCCCGCTCACCCGTACAACCACGGTTATATTGGAGCACTATAACACGGCTACATACGGATGTGAGTCGTGGACTATCTCTCAGTCCTTAAGAAAGAGAAGAGGGGCTTTTGAGCTGAAATGCAATAGAAAGATTCTCAGAATATCTTGGACAAAGAAGATGAGAAATACTGACATCTTAAAAGATCTGAACATCAAGGAAGATTGGCTAATAAACAGCATCCTTTCTCGAAAGCTGAAATATTTTGGTCGTATCAAGCGCCACGAAGGATTGGAAAAAATTATAGCAGAAGACTTGGTATCAGGAAGGAGGGGCAGAGACCGACCGACACGAAGATAGGAACAGGATATAAGTGACTCCTTGAGTGTGAAAGTTCATGAGGCGGGAGAACTGGCAAGAGACCGCGTTTCTTACAGGCAGACTGTGATGAGAGCGACGTTCTGCAAAGGACCTGCTACATGATGATGATGATAACACGGCTAGGAAATCAGCTGTAAGACGGCGTGGGTAGGTCATGATGAGATCAATAAATCATTCATTTCAATATTCAGTAGTTTTAGACTTGTTATGGTCTTTACCCCTGCGTGCCGACCCAACGGGTCTCAGTCTCGGTATCTCCACTACTCCCTCGCCGCAATATTTTTGGTTTAGTGAGAGAGAAATATTTCATCTGAAAAAGAAAGGGAAAAAAATGAACCGCAATTTTAAAATCGCGTTTAGTTTTTTTTTTTTTTTTAGTTAAAATATTGCTTCTGTTTTCACCATTCCTATAAAGGAACAAAACCTTCATTGGAATGCATTAAGAGCACAGTCCGTCTCTCGCCGAATTCACCATTAAGGAAAGCTGTTTTTCAGCTCGCGGTTTCCAAACTAGATACCAAATAAGAAATAGTGAAAGGCAACAGAAAAATGGGCTTTTGTTCTCTTAGAGGCCACGCTGAAGATTGCCAACCACAGCGGAAGAAATTCTGAGAGGAAATGTCAATGGGGTATAATAAAGAAGAAGACACAGAAAGTCTGCTTGTGCCGCATCCCTGCCATGTATGGCAAATCTGGGATTATTTGCCAGCAACGGCCATGAGGGAATAATTTAATAGTAATTTGGCTTGCCACTCATCCGGATCTACTTCTTGTGTAGCGCGTCAGCAGATTATGAACGGTGCGTACAGGGGATGAAATTCAATTATGGCGATAATATCCGCTGGATGTGATCTACGGGCAGAGAACATGTCGTAAGGTGATGAAATATGCCCGGTTGTGAATGAAAGAAATGAA